CCAACGATAGCCTTGCCTGCGTGTGCAAGGGAAGCAATAGGATATTTCATGCCTCAGATAGTGCCTGTAGATGTAAACAAGGTTACACGGTTTACAATGGATTAGGACAAGATCAAACTAATCTTGCAACGTCTGACGGTGTTCTTGACTGTGAGCCTATTATTCTCCCAAGGTGTACATCGAATCTTAGAAGCGAGGATGGGTCTTGTCTGTCACTTTGCTCCAATTCTGAATGTCCATCACCCCCGTGCTACTGTGATTCAAGTGGTTCAGACTACTGCAACAAGTCTTGTCCTTCGTACCAGGTGTCCCAAGCTCAGCAGCTGCAAGTAAGTCATTGATTGTGCGAGGAAGCAAGACTAACTTTGATCTCAGGTGGATTCTAGCGTTGGAACTACGATCGTTTGCAATTGTAAATGTCCTTTGGGCAGTTCGGACCCCAACTGCGCCGATCCCAATCAAGTTCCGATACAGACGTCGTACAACCTGTCGACTGACAGTGCTCAGAACACCATTCTGACGGTTATCAAGGCATCTGGAGTGTACAACTTTATTGTCAAAGGAATGAAAGAATGTTGGGGGGGGGGGGGGGGAAGGAGAAGAAGGAGGAGGAGGAGAAAGTGGAGGCGGAGATGAAGCGAACTACCTTGCGCAAGGCTCATGGCTAGCGACGGCTTCCTCCACGTAAGAGCAAGAGCATCGAACGCAGTGCGAACGAGGCCGAGAAGAGCTCGAGGGCCTCGTCCTGCTACTGCAGTAGCCACGTAGAGGAGGGAGAAGAGACGGCCGAAGTCGAAGACAGGCTGTAAGGAGGAAGAGGGTCAGAGGAGGAATGGAGAGGAGGAAAAAGAGGGTGCAGCAATGGGAAGGATGGAGGTGGGAAGGGAGAAGAGGGGGAGGAGAGCGAGGAGGAGGAGCAGGGAGGAAAAGGGAGAGGAGTTGTTGTTGGAGGGTGAGAAGACAGCAGGCGAAGGAGGGAGAAGAGGAAGGAGGAGAACTGTGTTGAGGTTGAAGGAAGGAGATGGACAGCAGCACTAGAAGAGGAAGAGAAGAAAATTGGCTCGAGCATGCAGCAACAGACCTTCTCTGCTTCAGGAACTTTCTTCATAAGGACCTGCTGGGAGTCAGAAGAGGATGCAGAGGAGGAAAAAGAAAACAGATGGAAAAAAAAGAGTGCTAGACAGAGAAGATAAGGAGGGGATGGGGAGAAGAAAAGGAGGAGGGAGAGAACGAGCTGGTGCAGTAGGAGCAGGAGGAGAGCTCGAAGAGCAGGAGCACCTGGGGCAGGCGGTAGCAGTAGAGAGGATCTCTCAGTAGTCGTTTAGCTACGTAGGGATAGGCAACTTCGAGCAGCTTGAAGTTCGGGTCCAGCAGAAGGCAGATCCCCTCCTGCCGTCGTCACGTTACTCGTCACGGCACCTTCACCACTTCCATCCTCCTCCTCCTCCTCGTATACCCCCCCCCCTCCCCTGATCTTTGTTCTCCTCCTCCTCCCTCTCCTCCTCCTCCCCTCCCCCCATTCTCCTCCTCCTCCTGCTCTGATCTTGATTTCCTCTGCATCGAACCTGCGTGAGGAGCGTGCGGATCACGAGAGCGAATCTCTCGGGCACGCGGATCGGATACTGCAAACAAACAAGCATCTCAGAATCAGCCACCTTCTCCTCCTCCCACCCTCACGTTGCTCGTCCTCTTCCTCGTTCTTCTCGTCTCCCTCCTCTCATTCTCTTCCTCCTTGTTCTTGACTTCCTCTCTCCTTCCTTCCTAGTTGCATCCCCTGTCACCCCTTATCTATCCTTCTCTATTTCTTCCGCTACCCCCCCTCGTCCCCTCCCCTCGCTCACCTTGAACACAAGGTTGGAGAACTGCTTGGTAACCGTCCTGCTCTTGAGATCAGAACAACAACAAGTTTGCTGTCTCCTCCTCCTGCTACCTCTCCTCTTTCCTGCCCTCCTCCTCCTCCTCCTCCTCCTCCTCCTCCTTCTCTTCCTCTCCACTTCGTCCACCTCTTTCCTCGCCTCCTCTTCCTCCATGTTCTCCTCCTCACCGGAAGTTAAAATCCGCAAGATTCTTGCCAACGGCGTCTGCCCACATTCCCTGGAGAGCTGAAGAAATCGGCCGCATGTTCGTTCCCTGAAGATGAGAGGGGAGGAAAAGAGAGAGGGAGGAGGAGAGAAGAGGAGGAGGGGAGGAGAGAAGGAGTGGAGGAGAGGAGGAGTGGAGGAGAGGAGGAGACAGGTCAGGCCTGGAATTCATTTCTTCTCCTTTTCTTACCTCAGCTATGAAACCAAGTCTCTGCATGTCCCGAGCAATCTCATCAAAGTCCTGCAGAGACAGAAAATCACACAATGCTGCTGGTGCTGGTGATGCTGGTGGTGGTGGTGGTGGTGGTGGTGGTGGTGGTGGTGGTGGTGGTGGTGGTGGTGGTGCTGGTGCTGCTGCTCTACCTGATGGATGGCATGTACAACGGCGTCGAGGAGTGCTTCTTTGTTTGTCTGTGAGAGGACAAAGTGAGACGAGCATTCTAGCAAACACAAGGGAGCGAAGAGATGAGGTGAGATGAAAGAGAGCAACAAGGAAGGGAAAGAACGAAAAGTCGATGAGATGCAACATCCAAGGAGGGGAAGGAGAAGGGAAGGAGAAGAGAGAGGGAGAACCAGGGGACTACGAGGAGGAGGAGGAGGAGGAGGAGGAGGCTGAAAGTTTTTTGCGGCATGAGGGCCTTACTTGGCTGATCTCAGCAACGGAACCGAAGTCAACGTATGCGATTCTCCTGCAGAGAAATGAGGGTCGATAGGGAGGTAAGAGAAAGGAGAAGAGGGAGAGGAGGGGGAGGAGTGAGAGGGGAGGGGAGGAGCGGAGAGGAGAGAAGAGGAGAGGAGCGGGGAGAAGGGGGGGAGTGCGAGGAGAGGAGGGGATAGGAGGCGAGGATTGAAGAGGAGGAGGACTGAGGAGCAAAGAGCTGAAGGAGGAGCGAACAGAAGACTTGTAGGAAGGGAAGGAGGAGGAGAGGAGGAGAAGGGACGTGTTATTTCTCTTACCCATCTGCTAGTGCAAAAACATTGCCGGGATGTGGATCGCCGTGAAACAGTCCAAACTCTGTGAGGTGATCAGATAGAGGTTGAGAGCACAGGAAAAATACGAGAAGAGAGTGAGAAGAGTGGGAGGGGTGAGGGGGAGTGAGAAAGAGGAGGAAGAAGAGAAGGAGGAAGGAGAGGAAAAGAAGGAGAAAGAAGAGGAGAAGGAGGAATGAGGAGATGGCAGTGAGAGGTTGAAGGAGAAGCAGAGATGCAGGGGAGGAGAAGGTCAACGGAGGGGGAGGAAGCGGAGGAAAGGAAGAGATAAGGAGAAGAAAAGATGACCAAGCAGTTGCCTCATCCCTGCCTCTACCCCCACGCGGATAAATTCCTGAGAGAAGATAAGAAGAAGAGCGAGGGGATGGGAAAAAGGGAGGGAGATGGGGAAGGAGGAGGAAGAGGTTGCAAGTACCTTGACAGGAACCCCCAGTTCGTCTAGCTTTTCAAGATCTGTACATCTGCCGATACGGTAAGAGAAAGGAGATAGCACAAAAGTTGAGATGGTGGTGGTGGCCATGATGATGGTGATGATGAAAACGATGATGATGATGATGATGATGATGAT